TCCAGACTAGGAGTCTGATAGCATCTTTTCTGACTTACACATTTTATTAAAAGGCATAAGCTTTGGTGAGTTGCATTTCATCAATTACATCTTTAAAATGGAGATTACTGCCTGTAATTTCAATAAGCATTGTCTAGCTACTGGGTCTAATGTAGATTCCTTCATAAATTTTGATCCTCCCTCCCAGAAAATATATTTATTGTGGGAACAGTAGTTACATCAGAGAGAGATGATCTTGCTTTTGTTCCATTTTATGCCGTAGGGAAGAAGTAAATTCTAGTAATTGTTGTTTTTCAAGTGGTTTGAAGTCCCAGTTCAATAAATCATATTATTTGGAGTGCATATGAGTTTAAATTTTTACAGGTTTCCTGTCTGGCAGATGATCATCCACTATTGTTTGTTTCTTGTGTAGGATGATGCATTTTAGTTTGTCCTTTGTCTTTTCTTTTTCTTTCCCATTTATTCTTATTTTATGAACTAATTCACTTCCAGCAGTTGTTCTTTACCAACATATCTAAGGGAAATGTTCCCTTAGATATGCTATTTATGAAGGTTAAATGAGGAGAAGAAAGTTAAAAATATTTGATCTCTTCAGGAGCATACCAAGGAAAGCATACACTTGCAGCCACATTGCACCAGCTCTGGTGCTAAGAACTCTGAAAACCTTAATTCAGTTTGAGGCAGGTTCAGATTTCGTGGTTGTCATGACAACTATAGGCCTATCTCAACTTATATTTGGACCCAAACATTTATTTATTTAGTTAATGCAATTTATTTACTGCCTGATACCTGCTAGACTCTAGGTGACATACACAGTTTACAATATCAAGCACAAAACAACACAAAACTGTTAAAAATTAGTTAAATAACAATATCCATTACCTAATTCATAAACAAATGCATCAATACATGAAATGGAGGCAGAAGAAGAACCCAGCGCTGTGGTCTGTTCAGGCCATGCAGCTCCAGTCTGATACTGTGAAAGTAAATCTGTAAATCTGGCCTTGGGATGGGGGAAGAGAGTACTGAACCATTCTGGAGGAGAAACAGCGATTTAATCCTGAGAGAGTAGAAAGCTTGAAAAAGAAATTAAAAATAATCCCACCTTGATTTTGTTTGAATATAAGATGGGACAAAGAGAAGCTCTGTCAGACTTTCAAGATTCTGTTATCCGAGCTTATCCTAATAATAAGGATTATTCCTACAGTTCCTGCTGCTTCTGTTCTTGATCTATCCTACCTTAAAGGACTGACAGGTACACAGCCATTGAACCCTAAAGAGTCTTACCACTCCTGGGTGAAGGAGCAGAGAAGTACCAGATGGCAGTTCTAGGCTCCCTAGGAGAAATAACCTCCTTGAGAGTCAGAACAATAATAAGTACCAGTTGAGCCTGGGATGCTTGGGATCTGAGTCTGTAAATTGTTTTCTTGGATATATTGACCTCTTTAGCCATAACCATTCATCTAGTCTGATCCTTTTTATATCCAACAAAGTGCTCATTGGCTTTGCCAATGAGAGTCTTTGTCTCTGGTGCCCATAGTTTACTAACTGGCTTAATGACTCTTTATTTCCCTCTTCATCCCTGCACCTCCATTGGTCCTAAGTTTGTGTTCATACAGGAGCAAAATTACCAGATATTCATCAAGTGCACCATATGCATCAACTCACAACTTAGTTCTGGAAATATTTGTGTGACTAACAAAGAGGTCCCATGAGCAGAGCTGTTTTCTTTCCACTGGAATTTGCAATAAAGTAACATCTACTGGGGCTATGGAAAATCTCCAAATGTGGTATTTCACAATGTGTAAAAGCATGAAGCACCAGTTATTAAAGCAACAGAGTCTTTTTGCAAAGTTCACGCAGCTCCTTTGAAAGCTGCTTCTGACTGTCTCAGCATCTGTTTGAATGTACAGCCACTTCACTTTATTCCCAGAGCATGCCTTACATACAGTTGCAAGAAAAAGTATGTGAACCTCTTGGAATTTCATGGTGTTCTGCATTAATTTGTCATAAAATGTGATCTGACCATCATCTAAGT